CCTAGCAGATTTAAGCAGTGAGACAAAGGCCTCACATTTGTGAGATGCTCTTAAAACCCGCACAATAAAGTGATTTACATTTTTAAGAACCATTAAATGCTGTGAATTGATTATTTATGAGTGTATTTAAATTAATTTATGTTTTCTTTCTCTCTCTAATGTTTTCCCTCGATTTTCTCTGTTGAAAGTGGTGTTTCTCTTTATTTCTCATTATTTTATCTATCAAGAAGACATGCTTTCCAAACTCCAGATATATTCCCTATTTTACACAACATATTCTGGTGTTTACTCTATCCACACTCCTTATATTTTTATAGGCCCTGGTTCTACTAGTTTTGCATTTCTGAACTTTTACAGCACTTTCATTCTGGCAATTAAACATGGTTTCTTACACTGATATTTCCACCTGTGCTTTCAACTTCAAGATTATATTTTCACTGACAGCAGTAAATCTTTTTCTCTTCTTTTTCCTGCCTTGTAGTTCACAACATAAGAGTAAAACAAGGGGTTCTTTTCATTAATTCACTTCTTCAACAATATTTATAAAGAACTTTCTGTATATGAGGAATGGTGCTTGGGTCAGGTCACCAAAATGAGCCATTTGTGGCTCAGACAAATGAATAACTTTACTCTTCAGCCCTGTCTATTCAAACGTCCTATCCCTGAAAAGCAGAATTAAACCAATTAAGGCCTTGTGGGTCTGAGGCACATCCAAATGACACATTCTAAGATAATAAATTCACAGAACTTAGACAAAAAGACACATGAAAATGCTCAGTGTGTCCCTGGGTATGAGAGAGGACACAGAACTGGGCCGGGAATCTGAAAACCTGAGCTTTGGCTCCAGTTCTGCTACAGCTTGTTTCGTGACAATGACAATACACTCCGCTACTCTGAGTAGCTGGTGTCTGAAAAGTCAGGATGATGGAGAAGACCTTCTCTAAGTTTCCTTCCGGTTCTAAAATTTTATGAACAAATAGCAAGCTAAAATTCCTCCAATTTCTAGCCAGAAATAACAGAATGAAATTAGAAGAGTTAAAACTGAGGGTACTTGATATAATTCCCCTCAGTAAAAGCTTAGTGGATTATGGAATTGTTTTCAAAGTGGTGAGTTTAAAGCTTCCCTGATTCAAGATGGTTAAAATAAATCCTGCTAAGTTTCATGGCATATATTCTCAGCACTTCAACAAAGCTTTTGAAAACACGTGAGAAAGTAAAGGAAGGAAACAGATAAATGAACATTTTTCTTCTGGAATATCATTGTATAAAAGAATTTTATGAGTCCCCAGAAATATACAATTCTTTGCTTCTTAAACAGAAGCAAAAGAAATGAAATAATGGTAGAATAGACTTGCAAAGCACTCACTTAGAGTGACAAATTTACAAATTAACTTTTTTTTTTCCCCCACACAGGACTGCAGCTTCACAACATCAAATGCATTTACTGTTGTGTACAGCACATGAGAATGTTAAGGAGACACGGGAGTGCACAATGTATCAACATAACAATAAGCCTAAGTGACAAAGTAGTTGAATTGCAGGAAAATATTTTTGGAGCAAAGTGGTAACAGCTGCAATAAGGCATGAGATAAATTGTGGGAGATCCATTTAGCTCAGGAGACCCAAGAGGAAAAAAGAAGCAGCAAAAGGAGGTGAACATGAGCTTACACTATGTTAAAATCCAAGGACTGGGGAAAACTCCCTGGGCAGCAGAGGAAAAGTGCCCAGGAACCAAACCAAATGCAGGAGAGCGGAGCCTGTTTGAAGGCACGTAGAGGATTTGGATCATCGAGGCAACACACAGAGAGAATTAATGAGTCAGAGCAGAGTTGGAACATAAGATTCCCATAATGTTATTTTACTCTCTTTTCAAAATTCAGTATTCTTCCTTGGAAATTTGTACCATGCCCCCTAAGTGAGCTTCCATATAGCTTCACGGGAGAAACATGAATTGGTTCCAAAGAAGGAGAAGGCATGAAAATTAAAAGTAGATGTCCAAAAATGTGGCCTCAAGTGTAGACAGCTGAGAAATAAAGCAGAGGTCCGAAAGCCGCCAACTATAAGAAAATATATTCTCGAATGTACAAAACTCTGTTAACATGTAAGTGAGACAATGGTAACATTACTCCCTAATGGAATCAAATTCAAGTTTAAACAAACATCAAGGTGGTTAGGTTTTTTAAGTCAAGTCAGAAAACTCAAACAGATGACTCCCTTGGTAACAATATCTCAGATACCTTATCCATGCATTGTATTTCATATCTGCTATATTGACTTTTAGGATTTTCTATTTGTAAAATGGCCAGCATAGAATTGGGATAAGACTTCACTAAACCTTAATTGAAATATATGAAGCACGTTGGAATTGGTAGATGAATTGAAACAAATGTTCAAAAAGAATCTTACAGGAAAATAGAACTTTCTCCCTGTGCTCTGCTTGGATGAGGCTGTTTTAAAGCAGCGTGCATTGAAACCAAAACATTCTTGAACATAAGCAAAGATAGATGAAGGGATGCCATGGATGGATGCCTGCCCAAAGCACGTATCTTGCCTTACAAACTCGGTAGGTCTGGGAGAAGACACATGGGGCACAAGGCTTTTTGGCAGGACTAACACATAGAACAATAAGAATAAGCAAAGATATCCTGGAAGCATGCTGAAATACTTTATATTTGTGCTAGGTTTTTTTATGTCACAAAGTTCTTTTGTGGAAGCTATAACTGACATTTTCCATATGAGTAAACTGAGGTTTAGAGAGATTTCTAACTTAACCAACAGTGCAGAGGCTGAAAAAGAGATCTGTACCCAGGACTTGACACCAAGTTGAATGCTCTTTCCATTCTGTTGCCTTCTTTCTTAATCTGATGGAGTCTGTGGTAGAAGAGAACTGGGGCATTATTCAAGGGGTTTGCACTAACCCAGTCAAAGATGCTTGCTATGGAGTTCATGTAATTGTAAGTCAGGAAGTCTCGATCCGTACATCCAGAAATGTACTGAGGCAGGCAGGGCACGAGAAAGAATCATCTGTGTGTTCCACCCTGAGGATAGTATGTGGGTAGGAAAGGAAAAGGAAGGAATTGCACGTTTACTGAGCACCAACATGTACCAGACACTGAACTAGGTAGTTCAGATGCTATTGATTTTATTCCTGCCATAAGTAGTGGGTCTTATAGGTTCCATTTTATAGTGGAGGGAACTGAAGATCAGAGAAGTTGAGAAACATTCCCAGCATTGCTGAGCTAGAGGGCAGTGGAGCCAGGATTTAAAATGAGTGGGACTAACTTCTAAACCTCTGCTTTCCTTTATACCATATTGCCTCACAACGTGTATGCATATTTAAACTTTACGGGTTGCAAAATGCTTTCACATACCGAATTTCTCTTGATCTGAAGCACAGAGTTCATAGCTGGACCCCAGTCTTGGTAAAAGGAAAATTTGGCTGGGAAAGGAGAAGGTGCCAGTCCTTTCTGAAACCAGAATCTGAGTTTCCTTTGTGGAAGAAAGAAGCAAACTGTCATTTTAACAGGCTTCTTCTTCTCTGTTATACTTCATGACATGCTTTCTATGTAAGCAGTACCTGTCAATCACAGATTTCAGAGTTTATTACAAACAGCGGGTTGGGTCTTGCGGTAAAGAGAGAACATCTCTTATGAAAGAAGGCTGTATCATTTTCTCTTCAGACCATGAGGACTGAACCAAGCCCATTACAAAACAGTATCCCTGAAAGGAAAACGCCAGTGAGCATACAGTTGGAGATTGCTTTCTTCTGGGCAGGGTCAGAGAAAATAATCACGTTGAGTTTTATGACCCAGCTTGGAATTGTTAATTTACCAAATACTCATGAATAAGCAAAGAGAGAACTTCTTGTCTTCTGGCTCCAAATCCTCCCTCATCCCTTCCCCTCATCTCTTACCCACATGGTATATGGTGCTCATTAAGAAAACAAAACAGTAATGAGTCAGTGATCTTCATAGATTAGATAAACAAATAGATGTTTTCCTAATACATTGGGCTAACTTATACTAGCTGCTGTTGCAATCTCAAAATATCAATGGCCTAACACAATAAAAATTTATTTCTCACTCATATCAAATGTGGACCAGATAAAGCTTTTTGGTTAGTGTTTTCTCCACATAGTGACTCAGGCATCCAGGTTTCTTCCACTTTGTGGCTCCTTCTTTTGGATTCTAATTTGCCCTGAACTTTATCCTTTGGGTTTTGTGGGAGGAAGGTGGAAGGTTCCTTATGAGAAAGACACACTGGTATGTAACTACCTTAGCCCAGCAGTGAAAAAGTCACTTCTGCTTACATTTCACTGCCTGGAACTCGTCACATGGCAAGCCTAGCTGCCAAGAAGGTGGGATATGTTGAGAGGCACTGCATAAAAAGTCTTCATTCCCTCTCCAGGGGACACAATATGGAATCCCACCAGTCCCTGCATGCAGCTCAAGCCCAGTTTTGTGGCAACGTCTGGTTCTTTTTTGCAAGCCCAGATGTAGCTCCTCTTGGTCTGGAATCCTGTGAACAAAAATGACAAATTATTGGTCCCTCTCTGCCCCCACAGTGTACACTGCTGGAGCAGGGAAAGCATAACTGCATCATAACTTTCATTCAAAAAATGGAGGCAATGATGCCACTGCTCTTGAGCCATCACAGTTGAGGAATTACTCTGGGAAGACATGTGAAGAGTTTCTATTGAGGAGAGAGAGTGTCCTTGATTATGTTCTGATTCTATTCTGTGCCAGAAGTCCGCTGTCTACCAACCTCAGGGGTCATTGGCTCCTCCTAGGAGGAGCCTCCTTGTCCATCATTCTTCTTCTCCATGTCTAAAGTGGGGGTTGGGAGGCAAGTCCTCGTTTGGAGGCCATACAACTTTTGAAGCCTGCTTCCTGCATATGGATGTTTGGAGGTCCAAGATGGATGTAAGTCTTCAACAATTGGAGGCTGCTCAGGCTTGCAGTTTCTCTAGCAATATGGTTTCCTCAAAAACTTAGTAGACAGTGCTTGCTTTGTCAGCATATAAGCTAAAATTGGAACCAGAGAAGATTAACATGGCTCTTGAGCAATGATGACATACAAATTCATGAAATATTTTGTATTTTTTTATAATAAAAAAAGCTTAGTAGACTTATAATTGATTTGCTTCCAGTGATTCCCCTCCCACTTCATTACTGTGCCCTGTGTCAGTAGCCAGACCTAAAATGCTTTCCTAGACATGGGCTTTTTACAGGGTGAACATGCTTCCTGATTTAACTAGAGATGAGGGGTTCCCTGGAACCTGGGCTTTCGATTTATTGGTCAGCCTAGTTTTCCATGTCCACATATTTCTATTTTTCCTTCGTCCCATACTTCTCCCTCTCTCAATCTCATGGCTGCTACCTTGAGGCTATCTGGAGCAATCTGTGGGAAGAACACACCTTGCAAAATATTAATAGGTTTGCTATTATTATTAAACTAGTTACTATTTATTAATAGTTTGAGAAATAACATCACTCAAGCATTTCTAAACTTTAACTTTTGTTATTTGGTTTTTCTAACCCTGACAAATTTCTAAACCTTCTCTATTACTATTCTCTTTCATTTCTGCTTGTTAATCTGCCAATTCTTCCTGGAGCTCATCTTTTTAGAACCTTACCTTGTTAACTGCAGCCCATAATAGACAATGCAGATTACCACTATGAATAGCTAAAATACTTTCCAACCATGTCTAGAGTCAGAAGCCATGTGACTCATCCCCTCAGTTATCACAGACAAAAATTTTCTTAAATGTTTTGCCTCTCTGTGTGGCAAGAATCATGGTCTTTTTGGCTTCTGGTTTGGTTTTCTTGCTGGTGGCCATTTAACTATTCAGCTGATGTCTTCTATTTTGGGGATTTTTATGGCAGTATTCCACTTCAACACATCAATTTCTACCTTCTAACGAAGATAGAGTACAGAAGGCAAATAGCCATATCAGACACTCCCCAATCTCAGTTACTTAATCGTTTTCTTCCTCACTCATGTCATGGACTGATGCTGGTCAAATGACTGTTCCCCAAGTGCTGGCTCAGAGATTCAGATTTCTTCCACTACATCATTTCACCACCTTGGATTCAAAGAGTCAGCGTACAGTGGGAGACAGGATGCGAGAGGCACAGCAGACACTCACCTGCATCCACTTTAAAGGAACATACATTCCTTCAGCTCAGATTCCATTGGCCAGACAATAGCAAAAGAGGCCAGAATATAGTGGGGACATGAATATCAAAAAGCATACATGGGGTCTCCTTTCTTCCTATAGCACAATGAGATGGGCCTTGGCTCTGTCTACTCCTGAGGTTCAGACCTCTACTATCTCCCTACATTCCATGATGAAGAATTCCTTTCTCTCACTCACAATTGCTACTGTTATCCCCATCCCTCAGGGGCTCCTCTTAGCCAATTATACCTGTAGAGTAGGTATAACTATCTGTCTGCTTAGGTCTTCCTTCCTTATATAAATCAATGATGATATTATAAGGCCTTTCTATTTTAGAGGATCTCTACTAATCACTAAAAATCACAGAAGAGATCACAGAAGCAGCCATGTGCAGACAAAGTTCTGGGAGCCTTAAAAGTGTCTAGAGGCTTGATCCTGGTCCATAGCTCTTAACATTGAAGCTGACTATTGGGAAGCCCTCTACACTTGTACTCTGAACTATTGTTGATGAAGGAAGATGCTATCAGATTTCTTCCTTTTCAATATGAAAGGTGTATAAAAGTAGAGCTTTAAATGACAGAGAACTCCCTTGAGCAGCTTTTGCATGAGTATGTAACACAATGCTGCTTTAACAAATGGATTCCAATCTGCTGCCCATGGTGATAATAGTTCACTTTTACTGAGCCGAGCTTTTTCTATCCACCAGGCATCCTTCTAAGTGTTTTACATTTTTAAACCTATTTAATATTCATAGAACTGTCTATGTTATGAACTATTATTATCCCACTTCGCAGATTTTTTTTAAATGAGGCACAGAATGATAAGCAGCTTGCCCAAGTTCATATAGCAAGTAAGTTGGTAGAAGTAGAAGTGATATCCTACTGTAGAGTCCATACTTATAACCATGTAACAAGCTGCCATAGTATCAGTGTAAAGCTTTTAAAAAAGGGAGGATTAATTTCCCTTCATACTTCTTTTCTTGGCCAGTTTGAAGAAAAGGGGATTATCCATCATGCTTGGGTCTGCTGCTTTCTCAAACATAATCGAGTGTTTCCTCTGAGGTCACCTCTCAACTCTCAAAGCATCTATACTTCTTTAGTTCTTATTAAATTTCAAATTAAATAACTTTTATATGGATATTTATTTTACACCTGCTTCTACATTAGACCAACAGTTCCCAATACTGGTCAAAGTCTGATCCTCAAGCTAGGTACAAAAAACTCATCTGGGTGCTCTTTAAAATGCCAATCCTTGGGTCCCACTATAGACTAACTGAATCAGAATCCTCAGGAACTGAGTTCAGGAAATTATTATTTAAGCAACGCCATAGGTGATTCTTAGGCACATTGAAACTCTGATTATTACTGCTTTAGACAAGTGTTTCTGAAATGTGGTCCACAAACCAGCAGCAAGAGCATCACCTGGAAACTTGCTAGAAATGCAAACTCTTCAGCCCCACCCAGAACTACTGAATCAGTAACTCAAGGGATAGGGTCCAGCATTCTGTGTTTTACCAAGCTTCCAGGTGATTCTGATAGGCTAAAGTATGAGAACAACTACTCTAGACCATAATGACCTCCAAAAAGGTTTGTTTTCTTCCCGTATCACCAGCACCTGGCTAGCTCAATGTCCAACATATAGTAGATAATAAATCTTTGCTAAAGAATATATGGATAATGAGTAATTAGTTAAAATGCAATGCTAAGGAAATAATCCCATAACAGGAAAAAATCCTAGTATTGTGAGTCATCATGGATTTGTTCTGAAATCATCTAAAGCTGACTGTCTACTTGGATCATACAGTGGAAAGATGCTTCCTTCTTTCTCTCTCTCTCTCATTCTCTCTTTGCTCTTGCTAATAGCAGGTTAATGGATCCATTTGGAACATCAGTCATAAGCTAGTATCTTTCTGCAATTTAGATAATAGTGCCTTGACTTTTTTTTTACTTTGATGGAGTGTGAGGAATATGGAAAGTTAATATGAAATTAATTTTATAAGTCATTCATAATTTGAAAAGTCTAGGGTCACTGCATGTGCAAAAATTCCTGTACCATAAAATGATATCTAATTTAGAAACAGATTAAATCCTTACATAGTGTTAGGCAGTAGGGGGGAAAAAGGACATAGGTTTAAAATACTAGTTCAAGCCTATAATATATAATATGCCAAAATATCATATATATAGTGTGTGTATATACATACGCACAAACAAGGCACTAAACATGTATTTTATATATGCAATATGTGCATATACTTGTTTATATGTGGATAGATAGACACACAAAAATGTTTTGTAAAAATAGAAGAGCATTTCTAGTTCAGATACAATACAGAGCAGGTGCAGTTCAACCTATTCTTCCCACTAATTACAGTAAAAATCCCTGGACATTATATGTAAAGCAAACATAAGAAAACTGATAAGTAGAGAGAAAATGGCAGAACACATGGAGACCTTGACAGCTGAGGAAATACATGGCACCAGGTATCCCATCACCAATGGAGAGTAACCAGGAACTTCCCTCACTCCTGGAGTAGTAATGGAGGCCCAAAGGAGAACCTGAACTTTCACCACCCCTGGCAGGAACAAAGGGAGGCAGACCTCTTTCTCCACCTGTCTAGTGTCAGAGGAAGACTTCTAAAACAGAATATTTAAATAAGATCAACGATCTTGTAACATAATAGCCAGGATGTCCAGAATACAATAGGAAATCACTTCTCACACTAAGAACAAGAAAAATCCCAACTTGAATGACAAAAGACAATTAACAGATGACAACACCAAGATTATACAGAAGTTAACATTATCTCACAAGGATTTTAAAACAGCCATCGTAAAAAATGCTTACTGAGTAATTACAAACACTTGAAACAAATGCAAAAGAATAAGATCTCAGCAAATAAAGGGAAGATATAAAAAAGAACCAAATGAACAATTTAGAATTAAATAATACAGCAACCAAATTACAAAACCTCAATGGGTAGATTCAACAGCAGAATAAAGAGGGCAGAGGACAGAATCAGTAAACTGGAAAATAGAACAATAGAAATTACCTAATCTAAATAACAAAGAGAAAATAGCTGGAATAAAATTAACAAAGACTCAGAAATCTGTGGGATATAAAAAGGATCTAATAGTTTGTCATTAGAGTTCCAGAAAAAATAGAAAACAGAAGGGGATGAAAACAATATTCAAAGAAACGACCAAACATATCTCCAGTTTGGTGTCTTACTCTGTTTTGTGTTGCTATAACAGAAATGCAAACTTGATACTGGGTAATTTACAAAGAACAGAATTTTATTTCTTATAGTTCCAGAGGTTGAGAAGTCCAAGATCAAGTCTAGGATCTGGTGATGGCCTTCCTACTGTGTCCTCACCTAGCAAAAGGCACAAGAGAACAAATGTATTCCCATAAGCCCTTTTGTAGTGGCATTGATCCATCCATGAGGGTAGAGCCCTCATTACCTAAACACTGTTCAGAAGGTCCCACTTTCCAACACTATTGCACTAGAAATTAAGTTTCCAACACACGAATTCTGGGGGACACATTCAGACTATAGTGTTTCATAATAACATAAATGTAGATATAAAAAGTGGAGTCATCTCAGTTAGGATAAACCCAAAGAAATACGCACCAAGATACACTATAGTTAGTTTCTGAAAACTAGACTATAGGAGAAAATCAACTCAAATGACAGCAGATTTGTCATCAGATGTGAATAAGAGAAAGTGACACAATAATTTGCAGGTATTTAAAGAAAAGAGCTATCAATGCAAAATTCCGTATCCCGCAAAAATATTCTTCAGAGATGAAGGAGAAATCAAGAAATTCTCAAATGAAGGAAAACTAAGAGAATTAGTCACTACAGACCTACTGGGGAAAAAAATGGTACCAGGAAATTCTTGAAACAGAAAGGAAAGGGTAA